CAGGGGTCCCTGCCCAAGGCTGCTAGGGCTCCTTGCTGCTTTTCTAGTGTTTCTAGACCCCAAGACTCTATAATAAAAGGGAAAAGCTACTGCTAGCAATGTGGTTGGGACCACAGGGGCCTCAACTGAAATATTTCTGCTAAGATCTGAACTGTGTGATCCTCAGTATCATGCAGACTCCTGCTCTGTTCCTCACAGTCGGAGCCTTCTTACAGCCATCACCTCTCTAACGGAAAACTTTAATTAAGCACTTTCTTCTTTAATATTTCCTTTTCCTGCCCCCCCCCCAAATTGATGAGATAAATAGGTCACAATCAAGTCTCAGGGTTGAACCAAGGAAAATGGAGGGAGAGGCTCTTTTGAGGTCCAGGAGCTGTATTTTGAAGAGCAAGAAAATTAAATCCGAGATCCATCATTTCAAGGAAATATGTCATAGTGGAAAGAGTAGAATGGCATCAGGAACTCAGGTTCATCTACTTTTGACATTTACAAGTCTTCTGACCATGAAGAAGTCATTCCAGGTGCTCAGGTAAGTCTCTAGGACTTATCTACCAAGTTACCTAATGCTACAATCTCTGCATGGTAAAGTGTGTCCCCCACTGGGAGTTCTCCACCCTAATGAAATCACAAATCTTTCCCCTATTTGTATTTGTGTTTAGTAGAGCCCAACATTGCAGACAAAAGCACAAGTCCAATTCTAGAAGGCTCATATAATCTCCCATTATCTATCCACCGAAGCCAAGAACACTTGAACTTTTGGAAATTAAAAAATTAATTTCAGCCCATGCTCTAATTTACCTATGCAGTATGGATCCTCCTTTTAAATCATAAAAACTGCTTAACCTCCCAACCTCAATTTCACTGTGGGAAGGATATAAGGTTTAGCTGCTTCACAGGGTGGTGGAAGCCAGAATTAATTAATGTTTACTAAGCACCCGGATGGCAGAACTATTCTCATTAAATTCTAATTATGATTATCTGCATGTTGGGGGCAATATGAAGTGAAGGGTTGATGCTTGGACCAAATTTGGTGTACTGCTTTCCGTGCTCTGGAATTCCATTTTAAAAAGAATGACTTACATTTCCCTAATTTTTCATGCTTCTCACGCATAGCCACTGCAGAAAATTCTGATTAGTCTAATCTTGACAGCATGAAAATGACATATGGTGAAATCAGGTCAAAAGAGAGAACTCTGATACTTGCTTTTTTTAAATTCTTTGTCTTTCTCTCAGCTTCTGACCGCTCCTTCTCTGAAAGGTCCTTTGTCTTTTTCAAATTAAATCTTCCTCCAGCACCCCTACCTCAAGTAATATTGCAGACTAAATGTAAGAGTAATGGTCTAACCTTAAAATAACGGCACTAAGACTCCAAGCTAAGGATTAGCTATCTTTGTGACCCTGGCTGCCACTAGCAAGGGATAAGTGGTGCTTTCCAGTACAGCTGATAAGGTGAAGCCATAAACAAGAAGAAAAAATGAGAGAAAAAGGAAATCAGGATGAATAGATAGAGGGGAAATGGGTTCATATGGTTTCTCATCACCAGAATAATCAACTTGTTAGAAGCAGTGATAGGGAAGGGGCCTTGAGATCGCTCTACGCCAGGAGTAAGGAAGCAGCAATATTTATCCCACAGAAGAGAGTTATGGAGGCCATGTTAATTGTCTACAAACATTTGAAGGGTTGTCATGGAAGAGGGATTAGACATGTTCTTTTTGGCATTGGAGTACAGAACTAGGAATAATGAATGGAAAGTCAGTGAAAGTTGGAGATAGCAGATGTAAACTTAATGTGAGGACAAACACCCCATCAATACTGGCTCCTCTGGAAGCAGAATGAGCTGCCTCGGGACTCAGTGGGTTCCCCTCTCACTTAAGGTCATTAAGCAAGGGCTGAACTGACAGGCTCAAAAATTGAGCAGCTCACAAGGCTCATCTAATCAGACCCATACCTGACCAAGAATCCCTTCCGTATTCTCTCCAATAAGTGGTCATCCACGCTTGAGGATTCAGTTCAATTACATTTATTGCACATCTACACCATGTAAAATGCTAAGCCAGGTGCTGAAGATCAGAGCAGTAATTAGCAACTTTTCCACCACCTCCAGTGGGGGCAGCATGAAGTGCCCTCAAATCAACTTCATGCTTCATGATGGGAAAATAATACAAGAAGTGATTAAGCTAGATTCAGTTGAGTGGGTAATTAATTACTATAGTGGCTCATAGACAAGTGTTAACGCTGAGTGAGCTGGGAGTTTCCTATTTTACTTACTTCCTCTTGCCTGTCAGGCATTGTGGCCAGGGGAGTGGTTTCAAAGCCAGGAAGACCTGGATTCGAGTGTTACCTCTAACATGTACTAGGAGTAGGGTCCTGGGCAATGAGGCGCAGGATTGGATAGAGCTCTAGGCTTGGAGTTGGGATGAACTGAGTTCAGATCCTCCCTCAGACATTTATTAGCTGTGTAAGCTGGGCAAGTCATTTAACCTCTTTCTGCCTCAGTTTCCTCATCTACAAAATTGGCATAATAATGACACCTCCCTCACAAGGTTTTTGTGAAGATATTTACAAAGCTTTTCACAAATCTTAATAGGATATATAAATGCTACTTATTATTATTATTATTAGACCTTTCAGTGTTCCAGTCAACTCCCTAAGAATATAAATTGTTGAGAAGATGCCAACCTACATTAGTAGAGGAAGTTTCCTCAACTGGGAATATCCTGTACCAGTGAGATCAAGATCTAGGTACCTATTCTTAAGAAGGACCAGAATTTAATAACACTCTGAAGGACCAAGCTGCCTAAATTGATACAGTGCATTTTTTTTTATCCCTAAGGCAAAGAAAATAGAGATAGTAAGATGAAAGTTTTTATTTCAAAGTAAAATTACAACTGCTTGTAATTGTTTTTTTTTATATTTTATTCCCCCCAACTAAATGTAAAAACAATTTTTAACATTCATTTTTGGTTTGTTTTTTTTTAAGTTTTGAGTTCCAAATTCTACCCCTTCGTCCGTCCCCTTCCTCCTTTCTGAGACAGAAAGCAATCTGATATAGGTTACACACGTGCAATCATGTAAAACATTTCCATATTAATCATTTTGTCCAAGAAGACAAAAGAAAGAAAGAAAGAAAGAAAGGAAAAGAAAGAAAGGAAAAGAAAGGAAGGAAGGAAGGAAGGAAGGAAGGAAGGAAAGAAGGAATGAAGGAAGGAAAAGAAAGAAAAAACAAAGAGAAAGGAAGGAAGGGAGGAAGGCAGGGAGGGAAAGAGGGAAGGAAAAGAAAGAGAAAGGGAGGCAAGAAGGAAGAGAAAAAGAAAGAATGCTCCATGCTGTATACAGACAACATCAGTTCTTTCTCTGGAGGTGGACAGCATTTTTTTTTACCATGAGTCCTTTGGGATTATCTTGGACCATTACATTTCAAAGAATAGCAAAGTCATTCATACTTGATCATCCAACCCTGTTGCTGTTATTGTGTACAATGGTCTCTTGGCTCTGCTCACTTCACTCTGTATCAGTTCATGTAAGTCTTTCCAAGTTTTTTCTGAAATCATCCTGCCTGTCATTTCTAATAGCACCACAATATTCCATTACAATCATATACGACAACCTGTTCAGTCATTTTCCCAATCAACGGGCATTCCCTCAATTTCCAATTCGTAGCTACCACAAAAAAAAGCTGCTATAAATATTTTTGTCCAAATAGGTCCCTTTCCCTTTTTTAAAATATCTCTTTGGGGTGCTTGTAATTGTTGGCAATTAACATTCTCTTGTACAGACAGAAAATGTTATAGTAAAATCATTTTAAAATTTGCATCATTTGATAAGCCTGGACCTTCTAATGTTAATCTTGTTAGCTAGGTTCTAAATGTTTCCTAATTCGTGTTTTGCTCTCTAAATTAGGTGCCACAGCAGAGAACTCTGGACCTGGAGTCAGGAACACCTGACTTGAAATCGTCCCTCGTATAGTACTACCTGTGCGACTTTAGGCAAGTAATTTAACTGCCTAACTTTCTTCATCTGTTAAAGTGGGTTTAATAGCACCTACCTCCCCGGGGCTGTTGTGTGGATCAAAGGATACTTACATAAACCCTTAACGCACATTATGAATGCAGCCATTACCATCTCTCAACCCTGATGTCGAAAAATTTCCCCTTGCACAGCCCTTGGCCTTCATCTCCTTCCTCACCTCTGCCTCCTTTCTGGCTTCTCTGGCTTCCTCTAATAAAATTCACAAATAAAATTCCATTTTCTTCAGGAAGCCTTTTCCAATTCCTCTTCAGTCTAATCCCTTCCCTCTGTTGGTAATTGCCCATTTATCCTTTCTATATCTCGTTTGTACATATTGTTTACATGTTGTCACAGCGAGCTCCTAAAGAGAAAGGCTGTCTTTTGCCTTTCTTTGCACTCGTAGAGCTTAGCCCAGAGTAGGCGCTTCACAAAGGTTTACGGTCTGCCTAGCCCTGGCTGGGAGCCAAGGCTCGACAAGCTCTCCATCACTACCCATCGCCCCATCCCAGGTCAGGGATGGGGCGCGCATGCGCAATCGCCACTCACACGCTCCCCCACCCCTGCACGCGGCCCCAACCGGTTCAACGGAAATCGGGGCCGCGTGAGGGGTAGCTGAGGCGGGGGCAAAGGGGGCAGGCCAGGGGGATAGGGGCCCAGTGGGGTGGGGGAGGGAAGGGGGGGCTAGGGAAGAGGGCCGGGTTGTCGTAGGAGAGCCTTTGGACCAAAGGAGCACTCAACCCTGAAGGAATCCAGTCACTGCCAGAGTACGTGAGCTGAGCCGCCCACCCACTGAGGAGGCCGGGACGAGAGGGACTGCCCGCTCCACCAATGGGGAGGAAGGATGCAGCGGGTGGTGCCGGGGATTGGCAAATAGGCGATGGGGGGTGGTGTCTAAAAAAGTACCTCCCCCTCCGCCAAAGCCTAGACCGGAAATATGGGGGAGAGGAGGAGGAGAGGGAGGAGCCCGACGAGGAGGGCGTGGCTCGGGAAGATGGCGGGACAAAGAGGCTGGCGAGGGGCAGATTCTTTTGGGGGAGGGGAGAGAGAAGAGAGGTAAGAAGGAAAGAGAGAGAGATAGGTATGGGAGAATGAATTCGTAGTTAACGCACTTCATTCGTGTCAACCCCATCCACAGACTTTTTCCTCTGCGAAGGCGAAGAAGCCTCAAGACCAGGTAAGGAAGGCGGATCCTACCAGAGCCTTTATTAAGCGTCGACTGTGTGCCAGACTCTGCGGATGCAAAGAAAAGCAAAAACAGCCCCTGCCCTCAGGGAGCTTCCAGTCTAATGGGTGAGCCACAGTGTGTATAACCAGGTCCACACAGAGTCCGTGTCGTGTAGGAAGGAGGGAAGCTTAGAGGGGAAGGCCCACAGCCTCATTCATCTCTCATAGGGGCTTAATAAGATGATCTAGGCCTAGATCCACAGCCCTGGGACTGGAACGGTCCAAAGAAACCATAAAGCCCAACCTCCTCCTTTTCCAGTCAAGGTAACCGCAGCCCGGAAATGGAAAGTATGATTTGCTCAAGTCACCCAGCAACCTCAAAGCCATCTTGTCCGGCTTCCACATTTTAAGGAGAAGGTAATGAAGCCCAGAGAAGAGGTGGGAATTGCCCAGGGTTGCCTCTCTAACAGCCTCTTCGTTTTACAGATGAGGAATCTGAGGCTTAGCTGCAAGGGGGTGGGGGTGGGGGTGGGGAATGGGCAACAACATGCAAGGAACAGAGCTGGCATTCAAACACAGATTTTCCAATTTCGGACTCAGCTACCTTGACTCTGCCCATCACACAGATGAGGAAACTGAGACCCAGTGAAATGATTTACCCATGTCACAACAGTAATAAAGGAGAGCTAGGATCAAAGCCCAGTTTCTCTAATTCTAAAGGCAGCTTTATTTCCATTGTACTTTGCCAAGGCTTTAAGGATTTCATTTTAATTAGATTTTTTTTTAATTCCAAAAGGATGGCCTGGTTTTCCACTTTTCCCTTCAAAGAACTAGATGTTGCAGCCAATATGATCTACTTGTCCATTCACAAATACATCGTAGTTTCCTCCTGTAATTGGAATGCCTTCTTGTCTCATCTTTACTTATTGAAATCCCCAATCCTTCAAATCCTTCCATTCTTCCATTCAAATGCTGCTTATTACCATGGTGTCTTCTCTAATTGCCTTGGCAGGAAATTATCCTTCTCTCTGTTCTCAATTAATCAACAACCATTTATTAAGGACCTACCATGTGCTAGGTAAAGGAGATATAAATAAAAATGAAACAGTCTCTGCCCTCAAGGAACTTACATTCTACTGGGTTTGGGAGGGATAATTTGTTTATAGATAAGTAAATACAAGATCATCCAATGAACAAGCGACTATTAAATTTCCACTGTGTGCAGGGTACTGTGCTAGGTTCTGGGACATACTCACCCAAATGGATCTGTGACCGAATTATTAGGATGCTTTCTCAAATGATGTAGATCTTAACCCAGTCATTCCTCTTCTGGGCAGCATTTATCCACATCTTCCTGTCAGTTTGCCGCAGGTGGTTCACTTGACATTTTGGAGACCTTCCTCAGCCTCTGCTGACATTGAGAAGAGATGAGTGGACCATTCACTTGTAATCCCTCGCCTTCATCCTGTAGGCTGTGATGACAATCATCTTTTACTCCTGTTCATCAGAGTTCCTCATTGGTTATCTCTTACAGCCTGCTCAAATCCACCTTTCCATTGTTCTGTGGGAGAGATACTGGAAGACATGGACTGAACATTGACAGAATTTGCTTTTGGACTGGACCTTTAATTCCATTAGTATAGAGAATTCTCAGGAGAAAGCTCCTACCTATGCAGAAATGCGTCCTGAGGCACTGAGAGGTTCCATGATTTGCTAGGGTCATACGGTCAGTGTGTTTTTCAGGCACACTTGAACTCAGGTCTTCCTCACTCCAAAGCTGCCCGGATCAGTTTACACACCACACTATACTTGTTCTGGGGCTTGATGTAACTGGCAGAATATTGGTATTGAAAAGGCAGACCTTTGTTTCCTGGAGAATATAAAATATTAGGGTCTTTAAAGGAGCTTTCAAAGTTTATTTTCTGAAGGTAATCCAATCCATTCTTCCCCTTGACCCAGCTCATCCATTTGTATTGTTTGTGCCCAATAGACATAATGTTAGGCAAACTCTATAGGTTGTTCATCCACTTTCTTGGCATAATCTGGTCAATAGACAGCCTTCATCCACTTGCTTTCTTTGTGTGGTTTCTAACCACTGGTTGTTGAGCAGTTTACTTTCTCTTGCCGCCTAGGCCACCACGTCTGCAACATGTGACCTCTTAACCATATTTCCTTCCCTCCTTTCCAACTCTAGTTTGGAGGAAAGTAATCAATCAACACTACCTTTCCTAGTAAGGAGATGTCAGTCAAATGCCTCCTGACTCAGTTGACCATTCTTTCTGTCTTTGCCAAAAGCACTTCTCCCTAGCCCTGCCTCACTCAAATCCATTCTTTTGGATTTGTTTTAGAGTGTCTTGATTTCTCATAAAGTCACTAGCTTCCAATTGCTCTATTCTAATTTTTAAGGAAGTATTTTCTTCAGTAATCTTTTGGACTTCCTTTTCCATTTAGCCAATTTTGCTTTTTAGGGCATTCTTCTCCTCATTGACTTTTTGGACCTCTTTTGCCATTCGGGTTAGGCTATTTTTTAAGGTGTTATTTTCTTCAGTATTTTTTTGGGTCTCCTTTAGCAAGCTGTTGACTTGTTTTTCATGATTTTCTTGCATCACTCTCAGTTTTTCCTCTACTTCTCTTACTTGCTTCTCAAAATCCCTTTTGAGCTCTTCCAAGGCCTGGGACTGATTCATATTTTTCTTGGAGGCTTAGGATGTAGAAGCTTTGGCTTCATTGTCTTCTTCTGGTTGTATGTTTTGATCTTCTTTGTCACCAAAGTAAGATAATATAGTCTGACTCTTTTTGCGCTGCTTACTCATGATCCCGGCCAATTACTTAAGTTTTAAACTCTTTGTTAAAGTAAAAGTCTGCTTCCAATGTGAAGAGTGTACTGTCCCAGGCTTCGGGGGTTTGTACAGCTGTTTTCACAGGTACTTCTAGGGACCTGTAAATTTTCATTTCTTACAAGGTGGTATGATAAGGGGCGAGGTGTTTCCTCTCCACAGCCACAACAAGCTTCACCACACCAGCATTCCTCCTAGCCCCAGAACTGCCCCTCAGAACTGTGACCCAGATCCAAGCACGGGCAAAGCAAGAGATTCCTGCCTCAGCACTGGCAAAGAGATCCTTGCAATCCTCCTCTGATCAGCCACTGGATTTCCCCTCAGTCTGTGGGCTGGAAGTTCAGGAAACAGTTGCTGCCCCAGGCCATGCTGGAGACTTGGGCTGAAACCTAGCTCCTCTCTCACCGCAGTCACAGACTTTTCCCACTCACCTTCCACGTTGTTTTTGGCATTCATGGGTTGAGAAGTCTGGAAACCGCCACAACTGCCCGAGATTCAGTCCTCTGAGGCCTGCTCCAGGGTCGCTGTGGCCTGCGCGCCCACGCCAAACTGAGCTCCTCTCCCCGCCTGGTGTGATATACCTTTCATATCAACCATCCAGGCTGCCTTTGGCAGGAAATTTGTTTCACTCTGTCTTTTTGTGGGTTCTGCTGCTTTAGAATTTGTTTAGAGCCCTTTTTTTAGGTATTTGTAGGGCTTTGGGAGAGAGCTCAAGACAGTCACTGCTTTCCCTCCGCCATCTTGGCTCTGCCCCCCCCCCACTCAAATCCAATTCAGAATGAAGGACAAATGGATAGAGCTCCAGCCCTGGAGTCAGAAGGACCTGAGTTCAAATCTGGCCTCAGACACTTGACACGTACCAGCTGTGTGACCCTGGGCAAGTCACTTAACCTCGATTGCCTAACCAAAAAAAAAAAAAAGAAGAAGAAGAAGGAGAATGAAGGACTAACACCGCCAACAACAACTCTCTCTTCTGCTCCATCTTCCACTATTTGAATGTAAGCTTCTTGAGGTCAGGGACTGTCTTTCTTGTTTCCGCTCATACGCCAATGCTTAGCACAGTGCCTACCACAAAATGCTTAGTAAACACTCTTTCGTTCATTCATTCTAGGCTGGGGGGAGCAACCTGAGCAAAAGCAGGAAGAGGAGAGAGAAGGTTGTGTGTGAGGCAATCAAGACTAATTTGACAGGACCGTCACGTGAAGGGGAGCACTGTATAATAAGGCTGACTCGGGGGATTGGAGCCCGCCTGTGAGAGGCTTTCGGTGCCAAAGAGAGAAGCCATGTTCAATCCTAGAGGTGCAATATTGAGCAGAAGGGTCACGTGGTCAGGCCTGCACTTGAGGCCTGTCATTTTGATGGTCATGTGGCTTGGAGTTAGGAAAGACTAGATGCAGGGAGATCAGTTACAGAACTTTCAAGCAAGAGGCGATGAGGGCCTGGACTAGAGTGGTTGTCCAAGTAGAAAAAAGAGATCTTGAGGAGGAGGAACTGACCAGACTTGTTGTTGTTGGTCCTTCGTTCTCAGAGAGGACCGTGACATCAGGAAGGTGATGCCATGACCTGCAAGTGAATTGGATTTAAGTGAGGTAGGGCTGTGCAAAGTCACCAGCCTCACTTTCTCCTCTGGAGCCATCTGGGTCCAGTGGTAAGATAGAGGTTAGGATGACTGGCGATGGCCCCCTGCCAGACTTAGCAAGTGATTGGATATGTTGGAGGGAGGTGAGGTTAGGATATTGGATATCCTATTGGATAGGTTAGAGAGAAGAGTTGAAGATTAATCCAAGGTTTTGAACCTGAGTGACTAGAGGAATAGGGGTACCTTCTGCTTAACCCCTGCCTACCTTTCCAGTCTTCTTACATCTTATATTCACCCCTTCTAATATATCCTACAACCCAGTGACACTGGCCTCCTTGCTATACCTCTTTCAAGACCCTCCATCTCCCAACTCTGGGCATTTTCACTGGCTATCCCTTAGACCTGTATTGCTCTACCATCATCTCTGCCTTCTGGCTTTCCTAGTCCCCCTTGATTCTAATTCCTTCCCTCTATTTATTTTCTACAGGAAGCCTTTCCCAACCCCTCTTAATTTTGGTGCCTTCCCTCTGTTAATTATTTCCTATTCTGTGTATAGCTTGTTTGTACATAGTTGTTTACATGTTATCTCCCCCGTTAGATTGTGAGGTTTTTGAGGGTGGGGATTTTTGCCTTTCTTTGCATCTCCAGCACTTAGCACAGTGCCTGTCACGTCGTAGGCACTTAATAAATAGAGGCACGATGCTAGTTGGCTGACTATTAACCCTTAACAGAAGTAGAGAAGTTGGGGGAGGGGTGGGTTTTGGCCAAAAGATGAGTCCTGTTTTGGATGTAAAATTGAGATGCCAGTGAATCAGCTGGGAGGAGATGTTAAGCGGGTGCAGTACTTGGTTTGTCTTACACGGGGATCTCACCATATCCAGCCTTATATCAGAGATATTTGTATGTGTGTTTTGTCTCTCCTACACTCCTTTTCAGGAAGAACTTTGTCTTATATAAATTTGTATACCACATAGCGCCTTAAGTAAAGCTGACCCCCAAATATTTGTTGGACAAATGAATAAATGTAGATGGTACATGCTAAAACATTCATCTTTATTCCTCACAGGATTTCGCCATGTCTATTATCAAGATCCATGCCAGGGAGATCTTCGACTCTCGTGGAAACCCCACAGTTGAGGTTGATCTCCACACTCATAAAGGTGCATGCCCCCTTTGCCTTCCTGGTCCCCAGACCCTCTTCTAGATACGTTAACATTGGCACAGAATGGCTCCTAGGGACAAAGAGGTGAGACGGAAAGATCAAATCAAGACCTTCTACCTCAAAAATGTCTCCAAGGTGCAAATTCACTTATTTGTTGCCCAGTGGGGCCTTCATTTGCTTGGTTGGTAGATAACCTGGTGTTCCCCAGTGATCAAACAAGCAAGTGTTCTGGACACTGTGGAGAAACCCTTTTATTCAAAGTAGATAGATATGGACAGGAGTTGTGAGAATGCCAGCTGGATTGTGCTTTGTCTGACTAGCAGGAAAAAAGGAAAATCCTGGATAAGTACAAGGCCAAATGTGTAGTGTATGTTCACTTCCATATTTTCTAACTGCCATCAAAGATCTGATTTTATCGGCATGGGTGCCTCCTTCTCTGAGGCAGATCATAATCCAGAGTAGGTGATATTCATGAGTTGTTATGGCCAAAATAATTCATCACCTAGTGCCAGCTTTGTAGCAAGGAGCTGATTGCTCAGTGCACCTGATTGTGGGTCCACTCCCAGCTCTTCTCAGTGTGGTAGTGCTTTGTAGAGCTTATATCCTGCTGACATAGCCTTTAAGAAACCAGGGATCCCCCTGCGCCAGTGTGAGGCATCTGAGTAGATACAGTCCCTTTGTAACCAGAGAGTAGGAACACAGAGGTATGACAAAACAACTCTGGAAACCTTATATGGCCACTGCCATTCTTTTCAGGAAGCAGGAGGGGAAGTGTTTTGTGGTGTTCCTGGCAAACAGTAGGGTTGGGGATTCTTAAGGAGATCCCTTTTGTTAATTCAAAGAGATTTCTCCCCCTTTTTGTAGTCCCTTGTGTCTTAGTTTACAGCTGCCTCCTGAACTGTTTTATACATGAAAAATTAAAGGGAAATGGTCTCCAGGCTGAGTGATACTAGTGGTACTGAGGATACTGCTTCCTGGGGAGAGCTGAGTCTGTCCCACTGTGAGTTCTGCCTTGACTAGTGAAACCCTTTAGCCTGTCAGAGATGGTGTAGAGGGAATTCATGAATCAGATGGTGGGGTCGGACTGAATGTCTTTCTAACTCTAGGGTTCTATAAGCCTCCCTTTCTTCTCCCTACCTCTTTCCCTCCTGCTTACCAAAAAAGAGTCCTTAAATCTGTGCCTTTCACTGACATGAGAGTCTGTCTTCTGCTACTTCATCATGATTGCTTTCAGGGTTAAGCCAGCTTCCTAAAGTAGGTACTCTCAAAGAGTCAATCCTTCTGGGTACATGCCTTCTATCACTCCCTTCATGATGTGAGACTCTACTGTTTGGTCAGAGTATGAAACTGGCCCAGCAGAAATTAATAGAATTTTTTTTTAATAACCAAGAGGTCTAGAGATGAAAGTAGGAGGGGACTAAAGGGAGAATGTTTTAAGGAAGCTGGGTTAGTCTCATACTGGAATGGCATCTCTAAAGACCTCCCCCCCACCTTGAATTCTGTGAACTATGTTGACATTGCCTCTCGACACAGGCTAGCTGGTGACCTGGCTCTTAGGCAGTTATAGGGGTTTTGCTGCTCACTGTCTGCAGAGGGAGTTCCCATGCCAGGTTTTGCCTTCGCTAATGAAGTCCTGGGTCCAGACCAAAAAAAAAGACAAAAAAATTGTTCTCTAATAAAAATTTTCCATATATAGAGTAAACCCAAGCTCCTTTCCCAAGAGCATATATTATAAAGGTGAATGTAACAGAGGAAGAATCCACATAGCCTGTCCAAAATTGGAATAGGGTATGTTGTTAGTGTATGGTCATTGGAAGTATCCAAGCAAAGCCTCGGTGAAGGGGAAGGAGCATGCATTTATTAAGCACCTACTACATACTAAACATTGTGTGAAGCACTTGACAAATATTATCTCATTTGAACCTCACTACAACCCTGGGAGGGAGATGCTGTATTATGATCCCCAAACTGAGGTAGACAAAAGTTAAATGAGTTGCCCAGAGACACACAGCTAGGAAGTATCTTCAGCTGAATGTAAACTCAGAAATTCCTGACTCCAAGCCCGGAGCTCTACTCACCACACCACCAGCTGCCTCAGCCTTCGTGATCACCTCTCCAAGTGTATCGTAGAGAGTATTTCTCCTTACAGTGTGGAAGCTTAGACTAAATGACCCCGTAAGTCCCAACTGTGTGATTCACTTATAAAGGGGGCCTTGGAGGAAAATCTTAGAGCCACATGCCTGTAGAATGAGGCTTTTTGCTCACAGGGGAACAGCAAATACTATCCTCATTGAAGAGACTTTACCCTTTCTTCCTTATTATCTTTCTTCGGAACCCATCAAGCTCCCTCTGTAGTTCCCTCTTACTGTGTGGTGGTGGTTTTTAAATCTCCATGTTCATTATTCCCTGTAAAATAGGGCCTTGAAGAGATTCTCATCAGCGAAAACTCTATGCCAAATAATATAAACTTAAATCTCACAAAGAGCCCAAAGACTGCGTGACAGCAGAACTGAGGGTATTTTACCTGACACCCCCAGAAGCTTCTCAGCTAGTAGTAAAACAGTTCAACAGCCTTGCAGTCAGCACTCTTCCAGGGTGCGAGGGGGGAGTTAGATTCCATTACTTTTTCCTCCTAACTTGGGCCATATATGACTCACAGAATCTCCTGTTTGGAAAGGAACTTGGAGGCCAAACCGTACTTGAACAAGAATATACCCTTCTGTACATTCACATTTATCACTTCCTCACTTCTTAAACTGTGGTCGAGACCCACATGGGTTGCAACCACAGTTTAAGAAGTGCAGGAAGGGGTCAAGAGTAGAAAAAGTTTAAGAAGCCCTGCTTTAGACAACTCTTCTTTTCCCTCCTCATTGGAATTATTTCCCTCTTGTATCTCCATTCAGAATGTCATTCTTTAGAAATTCCCATTTCTTCCAGACCTAAACTTACATCCACTATAGAATTTAAGTCATGGATTCCTTTTTTTTCCTTTTCTCTTTGGTGAGGCAGTCGAGATTAAGTGACTTGTCCAGTATCACACAGCTACTGTCAAGTGTCTGAGGCCGGATTTGAATTCAGGTCCTCCTGACTCCAAGGCTGGAGTTCTATCCACTGTGCCACCTAGCTGCCCTAGTCATGGATTCCTACCACGTTTTCTCTGAACCCATGGAAATCTGTTCTCCCAGAATCTAGGGAGTATGACAGATTATGTCCAGGTTTTTCCTATTACATATTCCAAAATGTCATGTTCACTTCTTCCCAAATTTCCAGTCATTTCCACTCCAGCAGTTTTTCCTCATTAGTGAGAATCATATCCAAAATAGAAGTTTCCCTCCTTCATTCCTCTGCTCTTTGAAGATAGAATTGTCATTAAGTGATTCAAGAAGTTATTAAGTGATTCAAGAAATTATTAAGCTGTCCTGTTGTGGTCAAAGAGAATTTCCAGCAGAAATCTAGACCAGTACTTAATATGTCATCCCTCCATGCTAGGTTTATAATCATTTTCCTAATTTCCTCATGTATTTCTTCCATCCTCCAGCAGTCTGAAATATACTATGATGTCTATTGTTTCTTTCTGCCTCTTGTCCTTCACCCAGGTGACCTCCCCCAGGCTCTGCCCTCCTCCTTATTATTGGATTTCCCTTCATTAGTATATCCTTTTAACATATGCCAACCCCATTCCCTTTTGCCTATCATGATTTCTTTTGAATAAGGTATCCTCTTTCAAAACTAATTCAAGTCATGTATCTCATCCTACCAAGGTTCAGTAATAGCTCTGAAGTCTGCATACATCATGGTCTCTAAATCACCTAACTCACTACTCATACTTTGTGCATTTAAACATGTATAAATAACTGGAACCATGGTTTTTACTGGTGGCTTTTTTCTTCCGTTTTGTCTCCTGTGATTTCTGAGTGTCTGCTGCTCTTCTCTTTATAGTATGCTCCTTCTAGATGGTGCTATCTTGGTGGGTTTTCATAAGCAGTTTAACTCCCTCCTTTTTCCTTTTCAATTTGAAGCCCTTTTGTAATTAAATGTGCAAGGCCCGACCCAAATATATTCTTACCAGCCTTTAAGTATATTCCACCTCTGTGTAACAGCATGTTATTTCAGTATTTTAAACTGTGCTGCAGAAATCCTAATCCCATTTTTAGATACTGTTTTATTGATCTGTTCACTTTCCAGTCCAAGAACAAGAATGGGAATTCCCTCTATAATTGCCCCAATTATTGCCCCATCATATCTCCACTGGAGGGGGAAAACTCAACCTTATGAGTCATTAAATTCCATAATTGCTAGGAAGTTCATAGATTTAGAGCCAAGAGGTTAAGTTAGAGATTATCCAGTCTGCTCCTTCGTTTGTGGGGGAAACAAGCTCATAGAGGTTAAGTGACTTGCCCAAGGTCACCCAAGCATCAATTTTCAGAGCCAGTATCTGAACCCAGGTCCTCTAACTCCAAATCCAATGGTCTTTACCCTGCACCATCCTGCCTGATTGAGTCAGAAATGTGATGTGGCATCAAAAAACAAAAAAACAAAACTGGTGTTATTTTATGCAGCATTAAGAGAGACATGATATGCAGAACAAAGGAGAGAGGGATCCTCAGTGCTCAGCTCAGTCCCTGGCACATCCATAGTATCAAATGACTTAACGGTCAACTTTAAAGCGCTGTATAAATACTACCTATCGAGTAATAGTAGTAGGCGAGTAATAAGTGCTCATTAACATGCTGTTAACTTGACTTTTAGTTCTGCTGTACCAAGCCCTGGGCAAGTCACAAACTAGATTTAGTTCTTGGGTCCACGTTTTGAGAAAAGCCACATAGAAAAGCTGGAACATATCCAGAAGAAGGCAACTAGCATGGTGAGAAAACTCCAGAGAGCACAATTAGAGAATCAGTTGAAGGGACCTATGGGATGTTTAGCCAGTGAAGCAGAAGGCTCTGGGAACCAGGACACTCCATTCAAATATTTGAAGCACCGGCAGGTGGAAGGGAGGCTGGGCTCTTTCTGCTTGGCTCTCGTGGGTAGAACTAGAAACCACGGGTGGAAGTTTTAAGCTTGGCGTGAGGACAAACTCCTGACCATTGGAGCATCCCAAAAGTGGAATGGATTTCCTTGGGAAGTAATGTGTAATTTCTCACTGGAGGCCTTCAGACAGAGACTGGTTGGCCACTCACTGCTGGTAATATTTTTTGCCGCCCTCCTTCCCATTACCATTCCCAAAGCCGTGGAATAACTTAAACTTGAATTTATCAAAGTCCTTTATCGACACATAGCACTAGTTAAAATGTGTAGGAGATGGGTTTATTGTGTGTATATAGTCTTCAGTCCTTCCATTAATATCTGAGCGCCAGACACTGTGTTCATGAAGTCACTTTCTCCTGTCCTCTCCATTCCCTAAAGTCGCTCAATGTCCCTCCTGGATTTCATACCTTAATTCTTTATCCATATTCCCTAGTAATTAACATGCATCAGCATTGCCGCCGTTGCCTGACCTCTGCCCCTCTCTCTCTTCCAAAACTAGCTTCGTGGGAATGCCAGACGCACGCTTGCCCCTCCTGTATGTTTGGGATCTGTTCCTCTTCCAACTTTATCCATAACCACAATGCTTCCTGATTACTTCTAGTCCAGTTCTGACAACATTAATCCTTAGCTTGTGATCCAAGCAGGAGTTGAAGGGAGGGGGGCAAAATAGCAGACCTCAAAGCTTCCCTTTAGCCCTTACCTGCCTTAATTGACTTTGTCCTGGGACCTGAGCCAGCTCCTATTCAGGCTAGATCATTCCAGCCCTTAGCCAGTTTAATCCTTTGGCCACCACGACATTGTAGGAGGAATTCTTGTTCAGATTGGTTGGAACAGAGGATATCTAAGCTCCCTTCTAACTCTTCGAATCACGAGATCTGCCTCTCAAACTTATGTCTATTGCTCTGTGTTCTGCCTTTCAGAGCCCAGCAGAACCACCCCAACCCCTCCTCCACGTAGCATTCCTTCAGTACTATTGCACCTTTCGCTAGACCAAATATCATTATAGGGCATGGCTTCTAGGCCACTCACCATCCTTTTTGCTCTTGCCCTGTGAGTGGGAGAGGAAATTACCCACATGGGGTTTTGATGTCTGTGCTAGCTGACCTCACTTTTTCATTTATTACTCTGTTCTGTTCTTTTCCTTCTCATCCAGGTGTCTTCCGAGCTGCGGTGCCCAGTGGTGCTTCTACTGGTATCTATGAAGCCTTAGAACTCCGAGACAATGATAAGAGCTACCTCCTAGGGAAAGGTAAAAGATTGGCAGCATCCTTTCCCCTTGTAGGAGGCATCTTAAACTATGAAATCAGGTGCTCTTCCTCCAGCTTCTATAGTTTTCCACCTGTTATTTATTTGTGGTTGTATTTGAGAAGGAGTCTCTAACCCCAGGCATTTACTCCTGATGGCAAACATATATATGTCATTAGACTTGGTAGGAAAATCACATTTCTTAGCTTTTCCTGCTTCTCTTTGCTTATGATTTCAGAATCTTCAGGTGTTTTGCAGCACATTGCTATTGCAGTATATAGCACTTAAGGAGCGGGGAAGCAGCAGGTAGTGCAGAGTATGGGGTTGCAATCCCAGGTTTGGCACAGCCTGAACCTGAGCAAGGTCCCTTCAGTTTCCACAAATGATGCAGTCCAATTCCCTGCTAGTCCCTACATTCATAGGATTGCTTTTAGAAAAGTGCCCCACAGATTGTAGAGTGCTACATGGATTGAGTTGTTAATGTTCATGAAATACTGGGTTAGACAGATAAAGGCAGCACAGGGGTGTGTGTTTGTGAGGCCATTGATTAGATTCTGCAAAATCCGGTCACACTTTTCATTTCAGCCATCTCCTCTGTGCAGAACACTTCCTGAACTTCTCTTGGGGTCTTCTTCCAATTATTCTTCTGACAAGACATCCATGGGCTATGGCTGTGTGTTATTGGTATAGTTTTTCATAGATCTTCAAAATTACTACCTATGCTAGAAATGGATTCAGTTAATGAGAATCATAACCAACATTTACATAGCACTTCAGGTCTCACTGGGTGCTTTACAAATACCTCATTTTATCCTCACAGCAACTTTGAGAGGTAACTGTTGCTATCGTCCTCATTTTATAGTTGAAACTAGGGCAAAACAATTAAACCTGCCCAGGGTCACAGAGCTAATAAGTGTCCAAGGCAGGATTTGAATTCAAATCTTCCTGCCTCTGGGCCCAGTGTTCTAATCACTTCATCACCTTGGGATGTGGTCAGGCAGTAAGTGCTTCTGTCTTTCCAGGGTCAGTAACCACTCCCTACTGAGACAGTGTCACTTACATATTTGAAAGATGCTCTGGGGCATCTAGGTGGCGCAGTGGATAGAGCACCGGCCCTGAAGTCAGGAGTACCTGAGTTCAAATCCGGCCTCAGACCAAACACTTGACACTTACTAGCTGTGTGACCCTGGGCAAGTCACTTAACCCCAATTGCCTAAGGGGGGAAAAAAAAGATGCTCTGAAAATCAACAAACATTTTTATTAAGCATGTACTATGTGAAGGACACTTTGGTAGGCCCCTGAAATATAAAAACACAAATGGCTCCTATTCTCAAGAAGCTTACATTCTACTGACTCTTCATCTCAGACGTCTTTAGATCATAAGTTTCCGATCACTCTAGCTTAGATGTCTTCAGGATTACATGACGTCCGGGGATAGAGCACTGAACTTTGAGTCATGAAGGCCTGAATCAAAATCCTGCCTCCACCACCTACTGTGTGACCCTGGGAAAATCACTTCAGCTCTCTGAGCCTCATCCATAAAATGAAAGCATTGAATACAAAAATACCTTTTGGTTTTAAATCTATTATCGCATCATTTAAACATCTTCCCAAACACAATGATGTCATCAAGGGAGACCAGTATACTGTTCATATTGTATGCCACTTGTTCCGCAAGCAGATGATGTGGAAATCCCTTGCATGTGCTCAAATTTGTAGGCACATAATAGCTAACATTTATGTGATGCTTTAAATAAGGTACTTTGCCTAGATGATCTCCTTTGAACTTCTTCACAGCTATAGGAAGTGAGTTCTATTATTATCCCCATTTTACAGAGGAGGAAACATAAGGCTGGTGACTTGTCCAGGGTCACACAAGAGATTTCTGAGTCTTCCTGACTCCAAGTCTAGCCCTCTATTCCCTGCACCACTGAGCTGCCTGTGATAATGTTTCCTGCGCAGGCCTGACATTGAGAGCCACTGACTGCCAGCCATTTTGGCCTCATAGGATGGCATACTAATCCACCTTATTTCACGTATTAACCGTCTGGCAGTTTTCTTAGTCTTCTTTCCTACCAGAACCATGAGCAGTGCCTAAGGTTTACAAGACTGAATAACAGTGCGGTTGACAACTCTTTCCAGCCTTCCATAGTAAGCCTACTGCCTCAGAGAGGGTCATTTGTCAACACTATTCTCAGACTGCTCAGCAGTAAACAAGGTCGTGTGTGTATTTAATTCACCAAATGTATTCAAGGTACTGGCCATACCGAAACAAAAACGAAACAGTCCCTGCCTTCAAAGAGCTTACATTCTGTTAGAAGATACACCCTGTTCAGAGATAAGTAAATACCAGGTGTACATAGTAACTTCAAGAGGGAGAGAGCATGGACCAGGAGCAGCTTCCTGTGTAGGAGATGATCCCTGAGCTGTGCTTGGAAGGAAGCTGGGGTTTTAAGAGGCAGAAGTGAGACAGGAGTGCATTTCAGATGTGGAGGACACGAGCCCAGAGGTGGTTATGGCTGAATGCCATATATGGGGAACACTTAGACGCCGGTCTGATTGGAAAAGTGCACGAAAACACAGGAGACCTATAGGGGATTTTCTTCCTCAGGTGACCTTTGTGTCCCTAGAGCCCTAGGGAGTCTTCCTACGAAAACCTCTAGAGCCACCCAATGATGCCAAGGGCTCTAGGAGTGGCCTTGAAGTTTGGCATGACAGAAAACTTCCATGCATTCTGCCAGCGCTCCCTTCCTTTTCTTAGAGATTTTTGGCTACTGGGTTCTGCTTGCTGGCCGCTGTAGCTGGTGAAAGCTTGAAAGAGATTTGAATTTGTTCCAGTGAAAGCAGAAACCCCAGGCATAGTATAGTCATGTTGGCCATTTTCTTAGAAAAATCAGATGTGTTATTACATACTTCTGTTGTGGTAAGTACCCTTTACTGAAGCTGTGGAGACCTAGTCCTCTCACAAGGAATACACCTGGACATACAGGCTACCAGTTTGACTTGCCATGACTCCAGACAGTCACCTGGCAGGTTCACTCAAGCACAGCCAAATCTTCTTTCCTCTTAGTCTTGATCAGCATTTTAGCTTGTGGTCCTCTGAGTCCTGGAGGAATGGAGGCAGAGGCCTTGCTGCTAGTCCTTTCACTGAGTATCTTGTAGCCAACGCTGAGGTTGGGCAGGAAGACGTAGGTGCAGATCTCACTTGTGACATTTGTTAGCTGTTTCTTCATCTGTAAAAGGATATAATAATGTTAATAGCAACTACTTGTCAGTCAGTGGACATTAATTGAGGGGCTACCTAGTAGGTTCCAAAAGTGGATAATATTGTCCTCTGGAGGGGCACTGGAACCATCTAAGGAGGGGGTAGTAGCCTCAGATGCAATTGAGGGGTGTTCAAAAAAAATAAGGGGGCAATGGAAGCATATGGAAAGAAGAGAAGATAAGGAAATTTTGAAAAACTGTTCGTATGTGTTTCATCTGTTGTGTAACAGAGTTAAAGTAGTAGTGGTTACATTATTTTCCAAATAAACACATAAAATGCAAGTTATAACCTATCAGTGGTCAAGTCCGACAACAGGTCTTAACCAGCAAGTGTTAGCAGGTGATCCTGTCATGCATTTTCAGGAAGTGCAGCATGCCTTAGACAGAATGTGTATGTCTAAGGAGTTGTTTACAGTACAATACTGTACAGTTAAGTGATGCAATATTGTGTCATCAAAATTTCAATGCAGGAAAAAACCAACAAATTTATAATAAATTATTAAATTTAAGATGCATCTTTTTTTTAAAAAGGATTTTATATTTTTTTAAATGATGCAAATTAAAAAAAAAACACACATTAAAGGGTTAAAGAAAGATTTCCAGAGGGGCACTGAGTAAATTTTTTCTAAAAGGGGCTGGTAGGCCAAATAAGTTTGGAAACCTCTGGCCTACTACTGCACTGTGCTAAGCACTGGGGATACAAGGAAAGGCAAAAGACAGCCCTCAAGGAGCTCCCAATCTAATGGGGAAGACAGCATGCAAGCCACTGTGTACAAACAGCATCCATACAGGAGAAATAGGAAATCCTTAAAAGAGAGAAGGCAATAGAATTAGAGAGACTGGGAAAGGGTTTCTGTGGAGGGTGAGATTTTAGTTGAGACTTGAAGGAAGCCAGTAGGTAGAGATGAGGAAGGGGAGCATTCCAGGCATGGGAGCAGCCAGAGAAAATCCCCAGAGCCAGGAGGTGGAGGGCTTATTTCATGGAACAGTCAGGAGGCCATAGTCACCGGATCAAAGGGTATGTGTGGGGGAGTCATGTGTAAGACTGGAAAGGTGGGAGGCACTAGGTTATGGAGGGCTTCAAATGCCAGGCAGAGGATTTTATATTTGATCCTGGAGGTGACAGGGAACATCTGGAGTTTGAGTAAGCAGGTGACATGTTGTAAAACTCCAATGAAATGATGTATGTCCAGCATTTAGCAAACCCTCACATGTAAACACCAACTTTTAGGATGGTTCCCACAGCTGTCCGCGAAATTGGAGCTTCTGTGATGCTGAATTAATTGTCTTTTTGGTTGCTCAGAAGTCATGTCCAGAGAGCACAAAATCAGATCAGCAAAATAGCAAATGAACAGGGTAGAATCACAAGAAAACCAAAAAAATAAAGAATTGTGAAAATTGACTGCACAGTGAGATGTTACCAAAACCAGAACATAAAAGAAATACAGAAATACCTTAAAAATGTAAAAGAGCCAGACTACAAGAAGACCAGATAAAGCTCTTAAATAATCCAATGTCAACAATAGAAATGGAACTAGCTGAGAAAGAAGGCAAGTGTCCATCCTGCCCACAGTGGTAGCAGATGGGCGGGGATAGTTTAGTTGATGTCCTCAGTCCCTCCGCCCGAGCCTCCCCAATCCCAGCAGAAGAAGGATTCTCAGCATTCTGGAATGCAGCTTTCACAACTGGGACTGGCTTAGCCAGATTATCCTTCACACTAGTCCCTAGCACCTGAGATGCTGGCACGGGGTCCTTTTGGGCTAATTTGCCTTTCTTCTGACAGCTCTCTCTCTCCTGGCTTATCTTCTCTGGCAAATTTTATTGTGAATAACTGGGAAGTCCTGCTTTTCAGACAGCTGTAATTGTCATTAAATAGAGTTATACCAAGATTCTTTTGAGCGCTTGAGCAAGCCGAATGTGTTTTGTGTGCCCTAAGATTACTGTACCTTTAATCACCACTTTCTGCAATAAATTTGTACATGGCTGAAAATGTTTTCTTCTTTCTCTTTGGTATGCAACATCAGAGCCTCAGTAGTCTCTATAAAAGTGATCCAGAGTCTGCCATCATTCCATGCTTTGGGGCATCTCAGGGGCTCAGAGGAGGGCTAAGGGTTTTATGTGGTGGGGCAAGATCTCACCTGGTTTACTAGGAAGCTAGGAGTTGCCAGCATAGAAGGTTACAAACACAGAAGATGTAAGAAAAAAGGGAGAAAGTGCCAGGTAGGAGAAGGGAGCATGGCTAGAACGTATAGAAACCATCACAAAAAAAAAAAATACTAGTCCCCCAAAACCAGAGACACATTCTTACTACCATAGACTCCTCAGTAGATCAGCCTAACAATCCACATTGGAAAAACTAAATGGATGAAAAATGCCTGTTCAGACTATGACTTGCAATTGGAAGGACAAGTTCAATGGCAGTACTCTTCTAGGGATAATGGGTGGCTAGAAATCATGGAACACCATGGTTTCCAAAGAATTGAAATTGCATTTGACCCCAAGTTCAGAGGAAAGGCTGTGTAGCTTATTGCCAGTGAAGCCCTGCATACAAGCGGCATGACAGATACCATCCAGGGAATTTGTGATCAGAAAAGGCCAGTTGTGTGGCAAAAATGAAAAAAGCTGGACATCCTGGCTGTGTTAGCCTCCGCCAAGAAGGCAGCTGCCCAAATTAAAAAGTGAACTGTTGTTCAAGGAAGAGTGGGAGGGGCAGTTAGGTGGTGCAGTGGATGGAGCATGGGCCCTGAAGTCAGGAGGACCTGAGTTCAAATCTGGCCTCAGACCAAACACTTGACACTTACTAGCTGTGTGACCCTGGGCAAGTCACTTAACCCCAATTGCCTTTAAAAAAAAAAAAAAAAGAGTGGGAGTACATAGAGATCGCCCTAGCCTTTGCCTGGAGACTTTTAATAAGGCATAGCCTGCTCTGTCCTGAAGCTGCCCAGACCACTTCCGTATATCTCGAATAGTTACCTCCCCTAGATTTGCCTCTCTGTTCTGTCTCTGGGCCCAGGCAGAACTAAACTCACTTCCCCTGTACACGACAACATTTTGGATTCTTGAGGACAGCTAGTATGCCTCTTTTTCCACCTCTTTCTCCGAACTGAACTTCGCTGGACTGTGCAGACAGATAGGACATTGGTAGAGATGAGCTAGGGAGCCATGGGAGAAGATTTTTGCCTCCACAGACCTACTGAATCACAGGTAGAGCGGAAGCAAAGTCTGGTCAGGCCCCTGGGTTAGAAGGGATTTGATGATTTAGCCTTCAGGCCTAGAGAAACTATGGCTTGAGTATTTCAGCCCTTCCTCCTCCAGGAATAATAGTCTGATTGTGTCAAACACCTGTGAGCCTTGCCCCGGGTGCCTAAACTGCCCCTATTCCAATTGATAATGGTGGTGCTTGGGTTCCCTTTAGACCCCTGAACATCTTTTCTTTTCACTGTTTCTCCATTGCTTTGTGCCCTGTACAATGTCTCCTGAACATGATTTCTTTAACTTTCACTATTTTTCTTTCTCTGGCAACATCCACTCTGCTCAGGTGTCTCCAGAATCATTAAATATGCTAATGAGTTCCTGACAACTACCTGGACCCAGCTTAGGGAATGGTTTTTGTAGTTTATGTGGAAATGGTGTTTCCAGGAAACCTTTTTGGAAATTAACCTGCCAAAAGGCATTCCAAGAACATGGCCGTCTGTTGGTTTTAACCCCCTAGCCTCATGAGGCAAAATCACCCAGATTAGGCAAGAAAGCCCGAAAGATCTAGTGAGGAAAGAGGCAGGAATTTCACGGTCATTAAATAGCTTGCATACTTGTGTTCCATTCAACTCTAGAACTCCCTTTGGAACAACTACATGTTGATGTCAATTTCCTCCTTTTCAGGTGTCTCAAAAGCTATTGAGCATATCAACCACACTATTGCCCCAGCACTGATTAACAAGGTAGGAGCCTTTCTTATTTTAACTAATACATAATAATGTAATTAATTGGATTAGTCCAAATCCCTGTCGTTTTTCTTCCTTGCTTAAAAAAAAAAAGCTGGAAAAATTAGCAGATTTTGAATTCCTGGGATTGATTTAGCCCACTCTGACTTAGGTCTTTTTAGTAGGTTGAAAGGGGAGAATCTCTGAAAAAAGCTGATACTAATGTCTGAGTGACCTGTGTATCCATCTTCCTTCCCAAGACTTTGAGCATCAGTTGAAATTATAGGGAGGGGGGGAGCTATGAAAGTCTCTCTCTCTCTCTCTCTCTCTCTCTCTCTCTCTCTCTCTCTCTCTCTCTC